AGGGGGCGATGATGGTATTTGCCTTTGTAGCTAGGTATGGACTTTAGTCACCTGGGAACTGGAGGGAGGGACGTTTGTCACTGTGCATTTTTAGGAAAGTCTGAACCACATTTACAGCTGCCCTCCAGACTCCTGTGCCTTCACATGGACTTTTCTTCATGCCCTCGTGCCTCCCTGGAACTTATGGCAGAGATTTTTATGGCCTGAAATGCCCATTTGTATGTATGTGTTAAAGCAAATTCTTCCACAGCACACACACACGGTGGCCACCTCTCCTATGCCCAGCTGACTTCACAGCCTTGCTTGAACATCATCTACCACATCCCGTGGGGTGGGCACCGATTTGGTAACTTGAAGAGATTCATGATCAGCGAGGTTACTTTCTTATCTGGAGAAAAGACAAACTTTCAGCAGGCTGGAAGAAAGAACCCAGCCCAAACTCTAATGGTCTGTTTCATTTAAATGCCTACCACCCTTTCATTTGGTTTTGATATTAAGTAAAAAAGCAAATCAAGCTTAAAGCTGGAGAACACAAAGACAGAGCCAAAATGATTCGTGTGTCTTAGGTATCCAGTAGAGAGTTCATTGCTGTGGCTTTGTCTGACAACCGCAGGTGAGTCACTGTTCTCTGAGGCCCAGGAAATGACTCGCTGGTGTTTAAAGCCCCTTATGCCAACCACAGCACCTTTGGTTTTCACCCTCTGCCCACCTCTCCCTTAGTTGATGAGTAGGAGCAGCAGGGTTAGTGATAATGGGACATTCCAACAGCAACTCCCTGAGGTACATAACCCATCCTCATGTGGACAGGTCAGGGCCTGAGCAACAGGTCAGCACGTCACAGGGTGGGTATTGACAATGGCTCCTGCAACTGGGGATGCTGGGTGATGCTGTGACCCCATAACCCCAGTCCCGCCTCTCTTACTCCGCCTCACACTTCTCCCTTCTTGCTTTTATCTCCAGTTCTGCTGAGCCCATGGACACACCCGTGCTCACACACTTTCCAGATCTAGCCAACTACACTCAGCCCTGTTCATTATAGTTCCATTTTCCCATATTTAAAAATCTTTTCATGTGAACCTTTAAAGCCCTGGAACAAAAAGCAACTAGACAGGGACCAATCCCTGACTAATGGTCCTCAATGTGCTTTTGGCTGTGGAGAGAGAAAACTCTTGTTATATTGAACCATCTTGGCAGTGCAGGACCCCCAGACCATTATGACAACCCCAAACACCCCACACACTGCCAATGCGGATTGGCTTCTTAGATTGAAATCTTACTAAACTTGCATACAGGGTTGGAGCACTTAATAGCATTCAAGACTTACCTTGCCTATAGGTTTAACTATTTTATTAGAATTTAATAAGTGCACGGGATTCTTAGCAGGATGAGGCTGGGTTTCTGATGCTGCCTGTCAGTGCAGAAAGCCAATAAGCAGAGACAGAAATTAAATCAATAAGCGCTTTTATTTTTTAGATCACTGCCCACTGAGCTGAGAGAACAGTGGGCATAGCAACCTGAAGAAACTGTTCTGCCATGTCATCTCAAGCTGGACTTTTTATAATGAGTTAGACAAAGACAGTCATAGACAAACAGCCATCGGGACAGCTGGTCACCACTGATGCTCCTGGTGTTCAGCCCCCAGAGTTTGTTCTCAGCTCCTGGTCATCTTGACTCTGGATCATCTGATGGCATCAGTGCCCCGCACTCCTTTGGCATCATCAGGGCAGGAATCTCAGTTTAAAGTAAGAGTTTTAGTGTAAAGAAAACAGCTTATTAGTCATCCAGTGTGTCCTTGTGGCCTCTGCTGTGTGTGCAAATTCCTGTCCTAGGCTGGTGCCTTCCCTGTCCTCACAGCCCCTGTCAAGAAGACTCCGTATCACCAGACAAACAAATCTGGGTCCTTAAAAAGAAATTGTTGATATTAATAAATTTAGTTATTATTGAACCTCTTCCAGAACATAGGGTATACATGTTGTAATTAAACTTCTTCTTGGCTTTTTTTCTTCAAAATCAAATAAATTGTTTAAATAAGTTTATAGATGGGACCAAACATTAATTAAAGAAGTCATCAAAAGTCATCTAAAAACATCTCCTTTTATTAGAGATGATACTGAAGTCTTTGCAGTGAAATGACATGCACTCCCAGATACCCCCACAGGGCCATAAGAAAATAGGAATCTGGATGAACTTAAATGGACAAAATGTTCCTAATGGTTGAAGCCATTAGGTGATGGACACGTGGGGCTTATACCCCAGTCTCTAAAGTTCTGTCTGTTCCAAATTCCCGAATAAAAAGTTGAAAGAAAGTAACCATTAACATTTTCTCTAAAGAATTCGTGGAATCTTACATTCTTCTGCCTGGAATGTAAGGCAGGAACATGCTCCTCTTGCAGGTGATCTCTTCGGCTCTTGGCCATGTTTCAGGGTTTTGCAGGACTTTGTGGTCACGGTTCTAAGGTCTTCCTAATGACAGGATTCAAGACGCTTTATCCTTTAAGCCATGCTGCCTCCGAGAAACTGCCATTCGTAATTGGCTTTACCTTTTCATAAATGTGCTTTCCTAGCCATCCTGTAGAACCTTTGAAGGCAGGGATTTAAAAAAATAATTACTGGCAACAGTTCTCAAAGAGTAAAATCTGTTGGACTAGGCCGAGGTTCAAAACCCCACTAGGATGAGCTATCATAAGCTCTTTTTTTTTTTTTAAAGATTTATTTATTTATTTATACAAGCACTGGGTACAGTCAGAAGCATGGGAGCATGAGAAAATTCACCAGAGCAGGGAACAGAACAGGCAGACCGACGAAATACACTGCTGAGGGGAGCAGCGGGTGGCAGAAGAGGTCTGTACACCATGTGGGACTGTCGCCTGTGGCTGGGGATCGAACTGGTGCTGCAGAGGCTGCGGGCAGCTTCGCAACCCAGTGCTCAACCACTGCGCCACCGGGGAGGCCCTCATAAGCTCTTAATCTAACTATCAAAAAAAAATTTCCTGATACCAACAGTGCACATGTAACTACAAGTCCACCGGCAGAAACGTGTTATTTATGGTGTTTCTTTACACCTATCTCTGTGTCTTTCTATATTTTCTTACCCACTGTTTTCTGTTACTTTCCCTTCATGCTGAGTACACAGCTGTGGATGGTGAGAAGCTTGCTGACTGAGACATAGTGTTGTGTTCAAGAGCAAGGTGCTTGACTTGGTGCAAACTACTTCACCCTCCCAATCTTCAGTTTCCTCATTTGTAAAACAGGCATTATTAGTAGTATTGACCCTGCAGGATTGCACTGAGGATGAATTACTGTATGGGAGAAACAGATAAATGCCTTCTTATAAATATTAGCTATTTTTTTTGGCCAAAAGGTGATTTGTACCCACCACTTAAAAAACATTTGCTTTTTCTCCTTCTGCATTTAGAGCTTTTATTTGGAAATGTGTTCTGGCATCATATTTTCATTTTACAACCTTCTTGTCTGGAATTTTAAGATAGCTTTTAGTTCCAATGCTTGGATTTTTAGTTCACACGATTATCTTCTCTTCTCGTACCCACAAATCAGCTAGAATCTCCTGGACTATTTCAAAGCACGTAAGGCGGAACAGGATCTCAAATCAGTGCCTCCACACTTGCAGCCTGTAATTTAGACTAGCTTGGCAGGTGATCAAAGCTCAAGCAAATCCTCTCTCTTCTAGTACCGTTGGTTTATTTTTGCAAATCTCAAATTCAAGTGCTAATGACAGTCTTTCATAACTAATAATTCTGAAAGACGAATTTTTGTGTACTTTATATACACCCTAGAAAGATACTAAATGTTACAGTATAATTATGCTGTGTAGAAAATGTCTATGCATAAACATTCCGAAGGAATTAGCTCCAACGTATTAATGGTTCTGTCACTCAAATAACATCGCTACGGGCGGTTTTCTTCTCTTTCTATTTTACATCTTATGTTTTCCAAACTTTGTGTGATAGCTGTTTCCCGCTTTAAAAGGAAAAGCCTATTAGCATGTTCTTTTTTCAAATTCATCTCTCTGGAGGAATTTTTTTCTTCAAAGTCAATAAAAATTTGGATTTGATTTAAAGCTATTTGGTTGCACAGGTGTTTCTCAGGCTGTGTGAAACCACCGCGCAGAGAATGTATTAGGTTGGGTTTGTGATTGAACAAGAATGAAGATTAGTAGACTAATATACTTCCCCTTCTATCTCTCAATCTCTTTATCTTCAAGGTGAGGGGGTAGGGCATGGGGTGGACATAGAAGCATTCTTCTAGCTTGAATATATTGTGACTTAGCATATGGCTCTCTAGCCATTTTCCTGATGTTCGTTTTATAGGTGTCCGGTTGACTTAGGGATATGGTCATCATTTCAAGGAGGCTGAGCAGAGTCTTGTCAATTTTACTTTGCCTTATGTCAGAAGAAAGCAATCGACAGTGGTATTCATCTCAGCTTCTGAGGGTTTTTTTTTCTTTGAAGAGTCATTTATTTATACATACAAGAACTGGGGTACAGGCTAGAGGTGCAGGGGGTAAGAGGATTCACCAGAGAGAGTGGGGAACAGAACAGGCAGATTGAAATACACTGCTGAGGGGAGCAGTGGGGAGGCAGGAGAGGTCTGCTGCACCATGTGGGTCAGCTCCCTGCCTGGCGGGGAACAAACTCACGCTGCAGTGGCTGCGGATAGCTTCACAGTGTTGTGCTTAACCCCTTGCACTACCACGGAGGCCCCAGCTTCTGAAGGTTTGGACTAGTGTTTCAACATAAAATGCAACCCTAATGCTGAAGAAAAGTCTCTTTGCACTAAAGACTTTTGCAAAGTAAATGATCTTTGAAATAGGATTCTTTACCGCAATCGTTGTTTCTCCGAGCAAATCCAGATTCCATCCAGGAGTGTTGGGGAGACTGTAGCTCAAGGCAGTTGCCTTCTGCATCAGTGCTGCTAACTGCATCAGTCTATGTGGTTTGGGAGTGACATACTTTCTAAATTGTCTCTCTGGTTTTACTCAGGTTATACTGGAGAGCTTTGCCAATCCAAGATTGACTACTGTGTCCTTGACCCGTGTAGAAATGGAGCAACTTGCGTTTCTAATCTTGGAGGATTCACCTGCCAGTGCCCAGAAGGTAGATATGATCATCTTTGCATTTGTTTCATATCATAAATTAACTTGATCAACTGTGTATTTTAAATTTCTGGAAAAGTCTATATAAAAGAACTTCCTACTTTGTTCCATTTACAAAATATAAGATTTTTTTTTAGCTTTTTGCTGGACTAGCTTGAAAATTATTTTTGAATATTAGACATAGCTTGGAATTACTGTGATTTTTGTTTACACATTGAAAATGAACAATTAATACAATGAATTTTTTCTAATGGCAAAATTTCACTTATAAAGTTTCCTCTTTTTTTCAATTATTTCATTTTTGATTTTGATTTTGATTCTGATTTTGTTTTTAAATCAACCTTATAATGTCCTAGAAAATTTAAGTCTCCTGGAAAACCTTCTCTTTAGTGCTACTTTTATTTAAAAACACAGTTTTATTGTTGGACTAGTTTCATCCAAACAGGCAGATGATCACAGTCATCGAGCTGGTGTTCAAGGAATAATTTGGTACTTGAAGGAAGTGTAGTCCTCATTTCTGCTTGGAGCATTGCTGTGGATGGGATTCCTTTAAACTTTTAATGTTGTAAGAATAACACGATATTGGAGGGTTTTTCTGCTTTAAACCAGCCTGTAAGCTCCCTGTCCACAGACTTGATGCTGGAACTGCGTGAAGTAGGCTGCCATCCTCCGCGAGGTTAAATATAGCGTCTGAGTGTGTAAGAACATCTGTCTGTAAAATTCCCCACAAATGCCCCCTGGCTGAGAGGCCCAGGGGACAGTGGTACAGATACACAGGTGCTGATAAAAGACCACCCTGGCCACCACGGTAACATTTTACTTCTCAAATACGTCATTTTTCTAGTTAACAAAGAATTGCCAACCCCTTCCTATACATGAGGTACTGTGCTGGGTTTAAGGTTTAAGGGGTTCAGCAAAGCTGAGAAGGCCCCTCCAGAGGGACACAGATAATTACGTGATTCAAGCCTGTGTAGGTGGGTTGGGCACAAAGGAAATCTTCATGTACCCCTCTGGGTTCTTGTAGGCTGGCAAATAATCAAATAAGCCTCACACAGACTGATAAGAGAAAAAGTCATCAAGAAGTTTAATAATAATGTTGGGGTTTGGTGTGTGGTGTGTGGTATTTCTTGGGTCCCTCTGCGAATAGATTCAGCAGAGTTTCCTGTTCAGTAGCACATGGCAAGTTTATGAAGGAAAAAGACATTTGCATGGACACATGTGGACAGAAAACTGCACTTTGCAAGAGCAAGGCAAAATTACGTGCTGCTCTTTGATGAAATTACTCTATAGAATTTATCACTTTGGGATCGGGTTGGTTTCGTTTTCAGTAACCACTGAAAATCTTTTCTGCCCCCACCTCTGCCTGGTAATCCTTTCTGCCCTCATTTCTGGGTTTTGACCTTGTGAAAACGTCCATCTTAAATTTTCTACTCTAAGCGTCCATCAATAACCTCTACACTGTAGGTATATATGGGAGGACACCAGCACAACTGAGTAATTTGTCCACATGGCTTCAGATGCCTCTTAAATAGCTTAGCTACAGCAGAAGGACTTTAGGAGAAAGGGCAGATCACTTAGGGAGGTAACCAGGGAAGCCATAGTAGGTAAAGATATGCAGATTCAGGTTCTACCTTTGCTGAGAAGAAATAGATGAGGTCTTCTAGTACACGCATTCATAGAAACTTACATGTAAACATCTTTTTCAAAAGCAACATCTGCTTTCAATACCCCTCCCATGAAACTGACCTTAGGCCAACAGGACATAATTTGGGGTGGGAGGCTTTTATTTCCCTCTACATGTCTTGAAGATGTAGGATAGTGACCTGCTTGGTCTTGGAGATCTGGGAGAATTGCCTGTGTGTGGACACCCTGAGTGAGGAGGAGGGGTGTGGTGAGGTTGAGGGCATCATCAGGGAGCAGAGAGAACAAGGAAGAGGGTGTGTGAGGGGAGGGGCTGCACAGGCTCGTTGGTTGGGTGTGGATGTTTCACCCTCATCCTTGAGGGTAGAGAGTAGAACTTCGGTTTGGAGCCTGGTTTTCCTACTCACTCACCAGCTTCGTCCCTTGGGCAAGTGAGTTCCCATGTTTTAGTGTTTTAAATCTGTAAAACTGGGGCTATGATGATACCCACTTCATAGGATCAAGGATGATGAAGTGAGACAACACAGATAAAGTGTTTAGCACAGTGCCTGCCTGTGCTCAATAAATATTAGCGGTGATATCATTATTGTTTGCCTAATAATGATCGTCATTAAACCAGTGATGCATTTCAAATGGATTTTGAAATCTTCATTCTGGAACAGAGTGGAATGTAGGTTGGGAAGAGACAAGAGGGTGAATAAGGAGAAAAGCTGTCCAAGTCCCAGGAATGGGTGTTAACGGCAGGAAAAGAAGGAACAGAGGATTTGGAACAGAGGGAAGCTGGTAGGTTTGAGTGAACTCTGGAGAGTTCTACAGTTGGAGGGTTTGAGGGTAGGAAGAGGGAGGTAGCAAGTCCATGACACCTGTCACCTTGTGGCTGGTTGTGCCATTCATGGAGAAAGAGATGTGGAGAGAAGCGTTCTACTTCTTGAACAGGTTGAGTGTGAGGAGCCCTGTGATATTCAAGTGGAGAAGTCAGCTGGACAGTTGTACTGTGAGCCTAGAAGCTGGATGTCTGGGCCAAGTGCAAACAGAGATGTTAGCCTACAGGTGGTGCTCTAAACCTGGGTATCCTCGGGACTGTCTAGGGACCTGGCCTTTATCAGTGACCCATCAATTCCACGTGATCCACATTTTATCAGTGACCCATCAATTCCACGTGATCCACATAAAGACTGGAGGAACTGGGATGATCTAGAATTGGAAAGATGAAGACAAGCTTCCCTGCAGTCTTTGTATGGAGACTTTCATCCAGCATTTTACCTCCGTGAGGGGCTGACCACGAAGGGGGCTCTTCCTTTAGCTCCCTCACCGTTCTGCAGGGTTCTTGCAGTGTCCAGAAGCCTCTTCTCGAAGTAGATAGCTGGGGATCGCCATTTCAGAAGGAGCCTCTCCCACTGGCTTGCGCTTGGGTGGTAGTTGTGGAAACTAATATTTATAGAGCACTTTGCACTTTCAAAAGAGCCTTCGCCTCCAGGGCACTTTCATATAAGCCACACTGTGAAAACAAGTCTGAAAAGTGCCTTAAATTCACAAAATATTCTGAGGTTCTGAGCAAGCTCTTGACCTCTGCCCACTAACTTTTCTTTCTTCCTTTCTTTTCCCCCCAGTGATTAACATTTTGGCAGGTTTGCTTTATGTGTGTGTATTTACATATGTAGTTTTTTTGTGTTTTTTTTTTTTTTTGCCAAGTAATTTGAAAGTAAATTATAGCCCTCATGACACCTCCTCCCCACAAATACCATGCATGTTTTCTGAGCATAAAGACATTTTCCTTCGAGTCTCTAACCCCATTATCACACCCAAGAAAATGAATAATTAGCTCCTATCTGGCCTCTTCTCAGTTACTCCTTGGGGTGTTTGTGTTGATTCTGTCTGCCCCGAATTCCCTGGGTTCCCCTTTTAGGGTGGGAAGTGTGTGTTTGTCACCTGCTCCCAGTTCCCTTGCCAGGGCACATTTTTCTCCTTATTTTCCATTATCAGAAAGTTGGTAAACTAATTATAAAAGTCAACACTTAGCTATCGCTCACTGTGTCTACCAACTCATTTGATCCTCAAATGAAGCAAATACTGTTTATAGCTTCCCATTTAACAGATTGGGAAACTGAGGCACAGGGGAGTAAATATCTTGTGTGTGATCTCATAGCAGGACATTTAAACCCAGACGATTTGGCACTAGATTTCTTTTATCTCCTTACTTAATCAATATTAATTTTTTCTGTAGCTTTTATTTAAATGAGCTAACAGCTTACAACACTGTACATGATTGAGGGGACTAGGTTCGCACCTCTTCAGATGTATTACCACAGCACACCCACCACCAAAGCATCCATAGTCTTCCACCACATCCACTGGGCCTCCTCACCCACTTTGTTCCTCCCCCTCCCCCTCTAGTGATCCCAATTCTGCAGCCATATTTCTAGGGTTTGTTTTGCTTTAGTTTTGTTTGTTCCTTTGCTTTATTTCTTTATATTCCACATACAAGTGAAATCATTTGATATTTGCCTTTCTCCTTCTAATTTTGCATAATCCCTTCTAGTTCCTTCCTTGTTTCTGCAAATGACAAGATTTCATCCTTTTTTATAGCTGAGTGGTATTCCGTCATGTATATAGATCACATCCTCTTTGTCCATTCTTCTGTTGTTGGGCACACAGATTGTTTCCTTAGTTGGCTATTCACAGTGCTGCAGGGAACACAGGAGTGCAGAAAGCCCTTTGAATTAGTTGGCACTAGAATTCTTAACCAATTTCCTATATTATCTCTGAATATATTTTTAAAAACATTTTCTACTTTGTGTATTTTTAAAGATTATCTTTGTAACCATAATTGAGAGTATAATAAAGTTGATTAGGTTATAAAACTTCTAAATGTCTCTGCTAAAAATTCTTACATTGGGAGAAAGCTAGAATTTTTCCTTTTTTTTTTTTTTTTTTTGTTTAACAAGTATAGTGAAATCCTTTCACAAAATCCCTCCCAGATCAGGAAGCTGTTAAAACTGGGTTTTCCCTCTGGATAGTTCTTTCAACACTGCAAGTTGATGGCCTTGCTCTTTTCCATCCTTTTCATCATCTATTTCCTTCAAGGAACCTTATCTATCTGATCTTGGCAAAATCCTTGGAGGTTGAAATCCTCCCTGGGTAACTGTGTCTTTGACTTCTGCTTCCTTTTTAACCTCTTTCCAAAAGTTCAAACTCAGGCAGACCCAAGAGTCAGCTTGTGCAGTAATTAGCACTTAAACTCTGCTCCTGGAAGATTCCTTCTCTCCTCTGAGTAGATTTTTATCCTTCACGAATGAGTTTTGTCTTTCCTTTGAATTTTTACTCAACTTTTACTAGGTCCATATTTGAAAAGTGCAGTTT